TAACGCAACAGTAAAATGTGTACTTGGATGAAAAAACGATTCTTCGCGGCACGGGATCGTATTCCAGGGATTTGCCCGAAACGCTACGCATACTAGTGGCTGTACAAGAATGTAACAACTCCTGTATATATCTCAAAAAAAAAAAAAAAATATGGGCCAATAGGCCCTTTGCAGTTACTTCCATTCTTCCCTTTAACTTACAAAATATTATACCCATTGTTTCGTGTTCTGTCTTGTGTTGAAAGTTTGTTTTCACCTCATCCAAAACTGTTGTAACATATCACCTCACCAAAATGCAGGTATAAAATCGAAGCTGTTTGAACTCTGTTCACGTCACGCAGGGTGCAGTCGCACCTCCACAGATCTCCAGTATCAGCTCTTGATACTGGTAATGGCTCAAAAGGGCCACCACTTACAGGCTATTCATGCCCGTGCCACCTCTTGGGTGGCTTCATCTTCATCTTAACACATTCACAAAGGAGACATCTCCCGGCATGCAGGGTGCATTCACACCTCCACAGATCTCCAGTATCAGCCCTTGATACTGGTAATGGCTCAAAAGGGCCACCACTTACGGGCTATTCATGCCCGTGCCACCTTTTGGGTGGCTCCATCTTCATCTTAACACATTCACAAAGGAGACATCTCCCGTCATGCAGGGTGCATTCGCACCTCCACAGATCTCCAGTATCAGCTCTTGATACTGGTAATGGCTCAAAAGGGCCACCACTTACGGGCTATTCATGCCCGTGCCACCTTTTGGGTGGCTTAATCTTCATCAATCAATCATCAACTCTGTTCAGTTATAGTTGTGTGTGTGTAAACTAAAGTCTTTGAAAATGTAATAAGTTTTACGAAACGAGTTCAAGTGTTGCGTCAGACTAGAAATAAAAATGAATTTTGGAGATTTGATTTATCAGTTACCATCAACAGTGAAAATAATATAAGAAACATAGAGAAAATTCGTGTTAGAATTATTAATCTTACTTTTTCGGTCACATTAAATAATATATATATATATGTCGTACCTAGTAGCCAGAACGAACTTCTCAGCCTACTATGCAAGGCTCGATTTGCCTAATAAGCCAAGTTTTCCTGAATTAATATATTTTTTCTAATTTTTTTCTTAAGAAATGATAAAGCTACCCATTTCATTATGTATGATGTTAATTTTTTTTTATTGGAGTTAAAATTAACGTAGATATATGACCGAACCTAACCAACCCTACCTAACCTATCTTTATAGGTTAGGTTAGGTAGCCGAAAAAGGTAGGTTAGGTTGTCGAAAAACAATTAATTCATGAAAACTTGGCTTATTAGGCAAATCGGGCCTTGAATAGTAGGCTGAAAAGTGCGTTCTGGCTACTAGGTACGACATATATATATATATATATATATATAATATATTATATATATATATATATATATATATATATATATATATATATATATATATATATATATATATATATATATCTATATATATATATATAATATATATATATATATATATATATATATATATATATATATATATATAATATATATATATATATATATATATATATATATATATATATATATATATATATATATATATATATATATATATATATAATATATATATATACTATATAATATATATATATATATATATATATATATATATATATAATATATATATATAATATTATATATATATATATATATATATATATATATATATATATATATATATATATTATATATATATATATATATATATATCTTGATTCTTCTATATTGGAGCGGAGTCTTGAGGTGGGTAGAATATAGTTGTATATATATATATATATATATATATATATATATATATATATATATATATACAACTTTAGAACACTTTCCCACCAGGAGACTGGAACCCTAGCCAGCACAGAAGCCTTCCAGCAACTGGCATAACAGGTACGCCTTAACCCGCTCCACCACTGCTCAGACCCTTAAAAGAGATGGTAATTTCGGAGTATTTAATACCCCAAAGATCAACACCTCCCAAGAGCACCAGAGCAAGTGAGGGGTCATTTATACGTTAATTTCATCAAGTCCCTGTTAATATGGGATGAGTAGCCACGGGCATGAATAGCCTGTAAGTGGTGGCCCTTTTGAGCCATTACCAGTATCAAGAGCTGATACTGGAGATCTGTGGAGGTGCGACTGCACCCTGCGTGACGTGAACAGAGTTCAAACAGCTTCGATTTATAATATATATATATATGTGTGTGTGTATATCACGAAAATAAACACGTGATTAAAAATGTGACAATGTCAGACCTCGGAGGAAAAATGAAACAGAAATTTCCTTAAGTACTTTCGTATATTAATACATCTTCAGAAGGAGTGATTTTACAGATTGGTTGATTGATGAAGATTAAGCCACCCAAGAGGTGGCACGGGCATGAATAGCCCGTAAGTGGTGGCCCTTTCGAGCCATTACCAGTATCAAAAGATGATACTGGAGATCTGTGGAGGCGCAACTGCACCCTGCGTGACGGGAGATGTCTCCCGGACCAAATGGTGACCAAATGGTGGATTTTACAGATTGATTGATTGATGATTGATGAAGATTAAGCCACCCAAAAGGTGGCACGGGCATGAATAGCCCGTAAGTGGTGGCCCTTTCAAGCCATTACCAGTGTCAAGAGCTAATACTGGAGATCTGTGGAGGTGCGAATGCACCCTGCATGACGGAAGATGTCTCCCTTATGAATGTGTTAAGATGAAGATGAAGCAACCAAAAGGTGGCACGGGCATAAATAGCCTGTAAGTGGTGGCCATTTTTAAGCCATTACCAGTATCAAGAGCTGATACTGGAGATCTGTGGAGGTGCGAATGCACCCTGCATGACGGGAGATGTCTCCCTTGTGAATGTGTTAAGATGAAGATGAAGCCGCCCAAAAGGTGGCACGGGCATGAATAGCTCGTAAGTGGTGGCCCTTTTGAGCCATCACCAGTATCAATAGATGATACTGGAGACCTGTGGAGGTGCGGCTGCACCCAACGAGACGGAAGATGTCTCCGGACCAAATGGTGACCAGATGGACCATTTTACAGATCGAGTGATGGGTATAAATAGGCAGGAGAGAATGGTGAAGTGAGGTGAGGTACAATACGTGGACAGCGCAGACGGCCCATTGGCCCATCAGATGCAGCCAATTGGCCCATCTGATGTAGCACAATGGCCCATCTGATACAGCAAACATACACAGGCACAATACATAGATAATTATAGCATAAAATGGTAAATATATACAATGAATTAGTGAGACAAATGCGTTCCAATGATCCTACTTAAATCGCCCTTTAGCTGATCTATTAAAAATGGATCTAAGTTATATAGACCACTGCTAATATTCAAATTACTTTCTTTTGTGATCTGTATCAAAGCAGATTCAATTATGTTTCTGTTATAGGTGCTTTTACAATTTGTTATTGAAGAAGCACTCTCCCAATCAATTTGGTGAGCATTTTCTGACAAATGAACAAACAAAGCATTAGACAATTGGCCATGTCTTACAGAGTATTTGTGTTGCGATATTCTACATTTTAAATCTTTAGATGTTTGCCCAACATAGAACTTATTACATTCTTTACAAGGTATTTTATAAATAACACAATTATCACTACGAGGGCTGTTCCTAACTAATAGCTTACCAACAGTGTTTTCGTAGCTAAACATTACATCTATATTAAAAAGCTTTCAAGTTTTTTAACTTGAAAGAAGCTTAATTAAAATAACAAAACACATTGTTCTAAACTCCAGAAGCAATGCACAAGTTATAACTCGGCCCCAAACGCGCTCAGAAACCAAACTGTTGGAAACAGACGGCTGATTCCCAGGCATGGATTTGGAATGTTGACAGAGGCTCAATCGTTCACTGATTGTTGACAAGCATGCCCTAGTCTATGCTGCAGCTCCCACAATCATCTCCAAATAAGGAGTTGATTGTTAGTCTGTTACCAAAGTGAGCTACCGTTAGTTACTGAGTCACTGCAGTGTGAGGGTTGCCAAGCCCAGGGCCGGGTTTTGGGAGTAGAAAACTCAGAGAACCCCATCCAGGTAAAATTCAGGTACTTTTTACATCCCAAATACCTCACAAATTGTGAGGAAGCACCCAGCCTCTCTACTCCAACAGCTTGTGAGGGATCAGCCAGCCTCCCAACTCCAACAGCTTGTGAGGAAGCAGCCAGCCTCCCTACTCCAACAACTTGTGAGGAAGCAGTCAGCCTCCCTACTCCAACAGCTTGTGAGGGATCAGCCAGCCTCCCTACTCCAACAGCTTGTGAGGAAGCAGCCAGCCTCCCTACTCCAACAGCTTGTGAGGGATCAGCCAGCCTCCCTACTCCAACAGCTTGTGAGGAAGCAGTCAGCCTCCCTACTCCAACAGCTTGTGAGGGATCAGCCAGCCTCCCTACTCCAACAGCTTGTGAGGAAGCAGTCAGCCTCCCTACTCCAACAGCTTGTGAGGAAGCAGTCAGCCTCCCTACTCCAACAGCTTGTGAGGAAGCAGTCAGCCTCCCTACTCCAACAACTTGTGAGGAAGCAGTCAGCCTCCCTACTCCAACAGCTTGTGAGGAAGCAGCCAGCCTCCCTTCTCCAACAACTTGTGAGGAAGCAGTCAGCCTCCCTACTCCAACAACTTGTGAGGAAGCAGTCAGCCTCCCTACTCCAACAGCTTGTGAGGAAGCAGTCAGCCTCCCTACTCCAACAACTTGTGAGGAAGCAGTCAGCCTCCCTACTCCAACAGCTTGTGAGGAAGCAGTCAGCCTCCCTACTCCAACAACTTGTGAGGAAGCAGTCAGCCTCCCTACTCCAACAACTTGTGAGGAAGCAGTCAGCCTCCCTAATCCAACAGCTTGTGAGGAAGCAGTCAGCCTCCCTACTCCAACAGCTTGTGAGGAAGCAGCCAGCCTCCCTTCTCCAACAACTTGTGAGGAAGTACCCTGCCTCCCTACTCCAACAGCTTCTGAGGAAGCAGCCAGCCTCCCTACTCCAACAACTTGTGAGGAAGCAGCCAGCCTCCCTACTCCAACAGCTTGTGAGGAAGCAGCCAGCCTCCCTACTCCAACAACTTGTGAGGAAGCAGTCAGCCTCCCTACTCCAACAGCTTGTGAGGAAGCAGTCAGCCTCCCTTCTCCAACAACTTGTGAGGAAGCAGCCAGCCTCCCTACTCCAACAACTTGTGAGGAAGCAGTCAGCCTCCCTACTCCAACAGCTTGTGAGGAAGCAGTCAGCCTCCCTACTCCAACAACTTGTGAGGAAGCAGTCAGCCTCCCTACTCCAACAGCTTGTGAGGAAGCAGCCAGCCTCCCTTCTCCAACAACTTGTGAGGAAGCAGTCAGCCTCCCTACTCCAACAACTTGTGAGGAAGCAGTCAGCCTCCCTACTCCAACAGCTTGTGAGGAAGCAGTCAGCCTCCCTACTCCAACAACTTGTGAGGAAGCAGTCAGCCTCCCTACTCCAACAGCTTGTGAGGAAGCAGTCAGCCTCCCTACTCCAACAACTTGTGAGGAAGCAGTCAGCCTCCCTACTCCAACAACTTGTGAGGAAGCAGTCAGCCTCCCTAATCCAACAGCTTGTGAGGAAGCAGTCAGCCTCCCTACTCCAACAGCTTGTGAGGAAGCAGCCAGCCTCCCTTCTCCAACAACTTGTGAGGAAGTACCCTGCCTCCCTACTCCAACAGCTTCTGAGGAAGCAGCCAGCCTCCCTACTCCAACAACTTGTGAGGAAGCAGCCAGCCTCCCTACTCCAACAGCTTGTGAGGAAGCAGCCAGCCTCCCTACTCCAACAACTTGTGAGGAAGCAGTCAGCCTCCCTACTCCAACAGCTTGTGAGGAAGCAGTCAGCCTCCCTTCTCCAACAACTTGTGAGGAAGCAGCCAGCCTCCCTACTCCAACAACTTGTGAGGAAGCAGTCAGCCTCCCTACTCCAACAGCTTGTGAGGAAGCAGCCAGCCTCCCTACTCCAACAACTTGTGAGGAAGTACCCAGCCTCCCTACTCCAACAACTTGTGAGGAAGCAGTCAGCCTCCCTACTCCAACAGCTTGTGAGGAAGCAGCCAGCCTCCCTACTCCAACAACTTGTGAGGAAGCAGCCAGCCTCCCTACTCCAACAGCTTGTGAGGAAGCAGCCAGCCTCCCTACTCCAACAACTTGTGAGGAAGTACCCAGCCTCCCTACTCCAACAACTTGTGAGGAAGCAGCCAGCCTCCCTACTCCAACAGCTTGTGAGGAAGCAGCCAGCCTCCCTACTCCAACAACTTGTGAGGAAGCAGCCAGCCTCCCTACTCCAACAGCTTGTGAGGAAGCAGCCAGCCTCCCTTCTCCAACAGCTTGTGAGGAAGCAGCCAGCCTCCCTACTCCAACAACTTGTGAGGAAGCAGCCAGCCTCCCTACTCCAACAGCTTGTGAGGAAGCAGTCAGCCTCCCTACTCCAACAGCTTCTGAGGAAGTACCCTGCGTCCCTACTCCAACAGCTTCTGAGGAAGCAGTCAGCCTCCCTACTCCAACAGCCTTGTGAGGAAGGAACTGTCCTGGTCCAGGAGATAGCAATTTTTTAATCAATTTCAGATAAGATACTTTACAAACTTTCATGTTATATAAGAGATTACAGGAAATTGCCTGACTGGTTAAATAGGACATATTACCCAAATAAATCTTTATATTGCACGGGTCTTTAATAATCATCTCTCACGCCAGACACCTACATAGTAACTGGACTAGACTGTAATGTTCCTTAATTATAGTGTGGCAGTTTTAGTGCCCATATTTAGCTAATGTGAAATATGATTTATTGGCCGGCATGTAACTACAGTGAACCAGCGTCAAGGTTCTCACCCCTTTCTACATTATATGGTTGGGGCCGCTCCCACTGGTCTTCGCCTCTCCGTACCTGGCACCACTGCTCGCCCTGGGGCTCCCCAGTCTAGATTGATTGATGAAGATTAAGCCACCCAAGAGGTGGCACGGGCATGATTAGCCCGTAATCCCCAGTCTATTGATTGATGATTGATAAAGATTAAGCCACCTAAAAGGTGGCACGGGCATGAATAGCCCGTTAGTGGCGGCCCTTTTGAGCCATTACCAGTATCAAGAGCTGATACTGGAGATCTATGGAGGTGCGACTGCACCCTGCGTGACGGGAGATGTCTCCCGTGTCCCCAGTCTACCAACGGCTGGCCTTATATATGCCCCTAGCGAATGGAAAGGTTCAAGTCCACCTGTCTCACGGCTGAACCTGCCCGTCTTGACACTGGGATACTCTCTCTTTTTCTATTTAGTCTATTTAGTCTATTCAAGGTCGCCAGCTGGGTGTTTTTACTCGTGTGCCAGCAACACGTCAGTGGTCTCATTAGTTATCTTAAATCAAGGATGCAGTCTCATGTGCAACGTAAGGTGACACAAATGGTTTCACTCAAAATAGAGTGAAACTCTATTTTGAGTGAACCCTCCATTCTCCCTAGAGAATGGAGGCTCACTCAAACACATTGGTAAGAATAAAAGTTTACTGAAGAAAATATATAAACTTGCATAAAGAAATAATATAAGTGGAATTGTCCGATGGCGGCAACACTCCTCTCGACGCGCCTCTGGCTACACGTTTAGCTGATTGGGTCCAACTGTCAGTCGGCGGGGACACACCTCGCGACTCTGGCAACACGATCAGCTGGACTTTTCAAAGTTCGTTTCTGGCCTCTTGATAACCAGCCTCTTCATCCAGATGCACCAATGCAACCCGTTCTCGCACTTGCCTCTAGTCAATATTGGCTTATTTAATAAGTGCATATGTGACATACTAATTTATTGTGAATATTTTAGTTAACCTTGAAAAGCTTCATAGAAAACACCGACCTCACCTAACCTTCTTAGTATGTTAAGATAAGCATCTTATTGCTTCTTAATTACAATTATTACTTAACCTATACCATTGATAGGTTAAGTAATAATTGTAAATAAGAAACAATAAGATTGCTTCTTATTTACACCGCCCGAGGGCTCTCGTCATTGGTCACTTCCGGCACGTGACCCTACCTGGCCAATCAGGTGCCGGCAGGCGCTGCGATGCTTTGGCGAGAAACAGAACGGCCCGGCGCCATCTTGTGACTCAAAAGGACGTAAGTCCCTTGCATAATCAAACTTAAATGACAATTTTACAGCCAACCTGAAAACGCTTCACACTCTCACACACGCAAGAAAATGTTCCCTTAATATCAGAGAACGCTCAGGTTATGGAGATATGACTCTTTAAGCTGGGTAGGAGAAATATAAGGGTGGCACACCGTCACACCAGGCTTTATTGACCTGCATGTAACTACTGTGAATCAGACTTTATTAGCGTGCATGTAACTACAGTGAACCAGGCTCTATTTGCCTGCATGTAATTACTGTGAATCAGGCTTTATTAGCGTGCATGTAACTACAGTGAACCAGGCTTTATTAGCCTGCATGTAACTACAGTGAACCAGGCTTTATTGGCCTGCATGTAATTACTGTGAATCAGGTTTTATTGGCCTGCAAGTAACTACAGTGAACTAGGCTTTACTGGCCTGCAAGTAATTACTGCGAATCAGGCTTTATTGGGCAGCATGTAATTATTGTGAATCAGGGTTATTTGGCCTGAATGTAACTACAGTGAACCAGGCTTTATTAGTCTGCATGTAACTACTGTGAACCAGGCTTTATTGGCTTGCGTGAAACTACTCTTTACCAGGTTTTATTGCCCTGCATGTAACTAGAGTGAACCAGTCTTTATTAGCCTGCATTTAACTACTGTAAATCCGGCTATATTGCCATGAATATAACCACAGTGAACCAGGCTTTATTGGCCTGCAAGTAACTACTGTGAACCAGGCCTTATTAGCCTGTATGTACCTTCAGTGAACCAAGGTATACGGTATACTCTCTGATATATAAAGGGCGCGTCCGGCTGCTTCCTCCTGAGTGAGTCCAATAACAAACTCGTGGGAAATAGATTCACTATGGCGAAGCCAGAGCCAAATGTCGACTTCGGATGAAATTTCCGGGCTCTCAGGGGCAGTGAGGGCTCATGAATAAAAATGTTCAGGATAAATTGGTATAACTCTCTCTCTCTCTCTCTCTCTCTCTCTCTCTCTCTCTCTCTCTCTCTCTCTCTCTCTCTCTCTCTCTCTCTCTCTCTCTCTCTCTCTCTCTCTCTCTCCTCTCTCTCTCTCTCTCTCTCTCTCTCTCTCTCTCTCTCTCTCTCTCTCTCTCTCTCTCTCTCTCTCTCTCTCTCTCTCTCTCTCTCTCTCTCTCTGTCTCTCTCTCTCTCTCTTCGATGTGGTGGTGAGGGTATAAGGGGGGATGTGGTGTGGGTTGTGGGGGAGGTATTAGCTCTACTATATAATAATCATAAATGATTCGAAGGACCAGAATTAATGTTAAGAAATCAGAGAACTAGTGGCTTATGGATCTCCTATAATTAATGCATAAATGAAATTAAATAGATTTAGAGATATGAACTGTAATACTTATATTAATTCAGAACTAACTCTGTACACCCAACAACTGGTGTACAGAGTTATATATATATATATATATATATATATATATATATATATATATATATATATATATATATATATATATATATGTCGTACCTAATAGCCAGAACGCACTTCTCAGCCTACTATTCAAGGCCCGATTTGCCTAATAAGCCAAGTTTTCATGAATTAATGTTTTTTCGTCTACCTAACCTACCTAACCTAACCTAACCTAGCTTTTTTTGGCTACCTAACCTAACCTTACCTATAAATATAGGTTAGGTTAGGTTAGGTAGGGTTGGTTAGGTTCGGTCATATATCTACGTTAATTTTAACTCCAATAAAAAAAAATTGACCTCATACATAGAGAAAAGGGTTGCTTTATCATTTCATAAGAAAAAAATTATAGTAAATATATTAATTCAGGAAAACTTGGCTTATTAGGCAAATCGGGCCTTGAATAGTAGGCTGAGAAGTGAGTTCTGGCTACTAGGTACGACATATATATATATATTATTAAATATGACCGAAAAAGTAAGATTAACAATTCTAACACGAATTTTCTCAATCTTTCGTACATTTCTTTTCACTGTTGGTGGTAATTCAAAAATCAATTCTCCAAAATTCATTTTTATTTCTAGTCTGACGCGACACTTGAGCGCGTTTCGTAAAACTTATTACATTTTCAAAGACTTTAGTTTTCAAACACACAACGGAAACTGAATAGAGCTTACACATTTTCGAGTTTATATCTACATTTGGGTGAGGTGGATGAGGTGAAAACAAACTTTCAACAATGGGTATTGAATGGGTATTAAATTCAAACAAAAGACAGAACACGAAACAATGGATATTCGTATGGAAATGTCAAGACACACAAGCCTGGAAACCCACTTCGGCCAATCATCAGCCAGATACCCACACCCTCGTACAGACTGGCGAAGCGACTCAACGGCCTGCTGACTCCTTATGTTCCTTGCGCCTTCAGCCTGAAGTCTCCAAAGGAATTTGTTGACTTGCTGTGGGGAACACGGGCCACAGGGATAAGAGCCTCGTTGGACGTAGAATCTCTGTTTACCAACGTACCTGTGGATGAAACAATCGGGATGATAGCCGACAGAGTGTACCGTGATCCGGCCTGTACTCCTCTTGACATACCAGAAAACAGTCTAAGGAAACTACTCCAAGCTTGTACTAAAGAGGCACCCTTCTTGAGCTCGATTTGACACATGTATAAGCAAGTAGATGGGGTCGCCATGGGTTCTCCCCTAGGTGTCCTGTTTGCAAACTTCTACATGGGTACCATCGAGCAAAAAGTCTTAGTCGACATGAACTTGAAACCGGCCATATACTGCAGGTATGTTGACGACAATTTTACACAGGTACCTGATGTCAGACATCTGCAGGAGCTGAAGGAGGCATTTGAGCAGAGTTCCGTGCTGCGTTTCACTTACGAGATGGAAAAGGATGGGAAGCTGCCCTTTCTAGATGTAACACTCATGGAAAAGAGCGGAGGTTTCCA